TCACAACGAGTGTATTCATGTAACAAATATTCATTCCACCCGCTTTATTAAAAAACACAATTGCATATGTATATATTCATGGTACCCCTTATTCGATTTTCTTCAAGATTCTTGATAAACAACGTCACTAGCATTTAAGTGGTTTCATATATTGATAAGAAAAACTGAATACAACTCAGTGACCAAACAGATATATTCGTGGATTGGTTGAAGTTAGACATTAATACCATTGGATGCCGGACGGCTCAGTGGTCTAGATGTTAAGTGTTCGCGCGCAAGATCGAAGGTCCTGGGTTCGAATACCACGAGCGGGATCGTGGCTACGCACCGATGAGGAATTACATAATAGGATGAAACGCCGCCCAGTGCTTCCAGGTTTTCCATGGTGGTCTAGCTTCAATTGTCTCATTAATTCAACTATTAAAATATATATTTGTACAAACGTGCAGTCCATCGACAGCTTTTAATTCTAATCGTCATCTTTTTATGTAATAAATATGTTTGATAGTTAAAGCTATATCATGTAATCTAATTATTAATGGGAAGAAAATTTTTTATGACTAAAAACCTTATCACTTTCACTATCTATGGATAAATGAACACGAGACTATACTTGAACGCTTAAACCGGGAATAATAAATAAATCATTATTGCTTATCGCTACAGGTTAACAATGTAACTAATATGATCTTTGTCTTAGATAATATACATAGTGAATTAATCATAAGCTAATAGGCATATGTACATACGATCACACGAACACATGTGTACAATAATCTACATAAGCCACAACAACAAAATATCTCCATTTTCAAATGGACGACAGAATTAAATTGATTCATGCAACTTTTATCCAGAAAGTAAAGTGTCTACAATGGGAATTTGTAAGTTCCTATGTTAAATATTTTTATTTTTTTTATATTTATAGATATGGGAAAATAATTAGATGTGAAAAAGTCTATATTATAAGCATATATCTATTTACTCCCTCTAAATGTTATATGTTCCCTCAGTTATGATGTGTGTCAATACTTAGTAAGTGAAGTAGTTTAGTAAGTTAATTACGAAAGTTACAAATGCTCTAACAAAAGAGTTTGATAACAGCTTTGTATTTACATTCGGTAAGTGAAAACTTCTGGGTTGATATAATATTACTGAGTGCCCATTTGATGTCGATAAATTTACAATAATTTACAACTAAAACACACAGTCTAAGAAGCCTCAAAAACGATAACTTTTGCAATGGATAAAAGTGGAGTTGTAAGTGTAGTAGAAAACAACTGTGAAACATGGAGCATGAGTATTAATGGGACCAATCCAAAGCAATAGTATATCTAGAATGAATGTATACACTTAAAGTAGGTCCTCTTCAAGTTATCTTTAGACAGAATATATGAAACCGCACAACATAACAAGTGCAAATATGATTATATATATATATATATATATCAGATAAATTTAAAAGTACCTGAACTAAAACCATTGAAATTCGTACAATGATCCGATTGTAAACTGGATAAAATTTTATTTGCTTGATTGCCTAAATAATTCATATCACATCTGCTTTCAACATCATCCATATTTATTGGACTATTGGAATTAACGAAACCATTTTGAATATTGTTTTGATTATTATTATTGGCGTTAGTAACATTATTATTGTTACTGTTATTGAAATATGTTCCATCGTTAGCTTTTCGATTATTCACATGTGTCGGTGAATGTGAATAGCCTGGACTGATACCACTGCCTCTACCACTATCTGAATAATTATATCCATTTGGACAAGTTTGAAGATAGACAGTTGTTGTTGATTCAGTTCCATGTTGACCTGCATTAGTGTTACTTACAACCATAGCAGGTATAATATTTGTTGCTTCGGAAAAACTAACCACCGGTCCAGGACGATAAACAAAATTACCTTGTTCTATTCCTGTAGTATTATTATTAGCACCTACGGTACCAGTAACACCTGAAACACTAGAACCTTCACTTGTACTTCGTCTTAAAGCATCCTGTGTTGAGCGTTTTGGTCGAAGACGAGGATTTCGAAATTTTCCATTTGTTTGATTCCAAGTTCCACTACTTCCATCTACTGTGTTAGTTAGTTGTAAACCTCCAGACATCTCAAGCATGCAGTTAGGTGTATTACATCCAGCACTTAATAAGGTCGCTTTATCAACCCCAGAACTTAAAGCCACATAAAGTGGGGAACCAATCTTGTTGCCATTTGAACCCCATCCACCTGAATTCAATGTCCCACCTGTATATAATGTATTCCCATACCCACTTCCACTTTTGACAGAACCATTTCCATGTGGTGACATTGTATTTATAAATGGCTGGTGCGTCTGTAGCCCTAAAGGGCCACATACCGCTGCCTCTGCGGCCATTTGACGAACAACCTCCGGTGGACAACGACATCCAAAACGACATGTACCTTGGCAACGCCTTCGACTATACAGCCTACGGATGCGACATATATACAACCATGTTATAATAAGTACGATTATGAGTACCAGACAGAGACAAGCCAAAGAAACGGTTGCAAGAAACCAATCTTTCGGTTCAGTTCCAGATAAAAGTGCATCCCAAAATGCAGAACCACTACGTTCATTATTTTTATCGCCAAATAAATTGTTAGAAGCACGACTCTGTGAATTAGATGATGATAAGATAGATAGATTATCTGAATTGTTTAAAACTGTTGATATTGTTGTTATTGTCGTCAATGGTGTGGTTGTTGTAATAGATTCTGTGGTAGTTGTCATGATTGGTGCTGGACATTTAATTGATTGGACGCAGAGTACATATTTTGTTTCAAATCCAGCTTCAATCATTAAACCAGGTTCATTTTCTCTAGAGGCTAAATACAAAATTGTAGTTCTAAAAGTGAATCTTGAAAATTTATCTGCTAAAGGGAATTCAATTGTTCCATTTAACCGTCTGCTTTTCACTAACTGTATAATAAATAAATAAATAAAAAACAGTAAAATAGAGTTTAAATTAATATAGTCAACAAATATTATAAAAAGTGCATATCACTTACTTGATTTGACCACTTTTTACAGTAAACTGATAATAGAGGAATAGTATATAATAAAGAGGAGTAATAGTGAATTGTAGCATTTTGTTTCGGCACTATACAAATCCTATGAACTAAACACTTATTTACCAATGGAATTTAAGATCATCATACTCTAGAGAAAATATGTTTGTTTGAAAGTCAATAGATCTGTTTATGAATCCGATCAAATGAATGTAACCAATAATGACAATTATTAACATTTATTTAATAATTCTTCATGTATGTTTTATAAAAATATACTAGATAGTCTTAAATATCGTTAAGTGTTTGAATTCAAATAATAATAAGTGTATATTGTGATTAAAGGAGACTATGATCAAGTCAAAATGTAACATAATTAGCATAAATCTAAGTTGTAATTTAGGTAGGATTAATCAAAATGGTATATGCTGCAGAGATATCCGTTCCAGTTCTAGCCCTGTATGTCCAAGCAACATGTCGAATCTCTTATTCTTTCATGATCTTAACATACCCTTCAAGTCTATTTTTTGTAAATACTAGTTGTTTTTGTCTCGATTATTTATCAAGTTTAATTTGGATTTCTCCAAAGATAAATGAGATTATTTTTTTTTAAATATCCTTTATTTTTGTCTTTCATTTGCTCCATCCATCTGAAAGTTTACAGCGGTATAGTGTATTTTTTGTATATAGACCATATATATTTGAAATTTAGCATGTGACGTAATGTTTATGTTTATATGATGCGGTAAGATATGACTACTAATGAAAAAAGATAAACAGTAGGACCAGAGGAGATATATTAATTCAGATTAAATGTTATATACAGCATCAAATAAACGTTTTTTGGTTTTTTGTAGTTTGTGTTTACATAAATAACTCTCTAAACATGACAAATATATAAAAAGGGAATGATGAGGTTAGGATATTTTAAAGTTGATTTCATTAAATAATTTTATATATACTATCTTCAGTATGGGTTTGTGGAGATGGTTGAATTTCATTGAGATTATGAATCGATCAATGCTAGATCACCATTGAGAACCTGGAAGCACTGAACAGCCGTGGTGAATGTTATCATGGGCCCACTAGTGACCAGCTTCGATAGGTACTTCACAGAGTTTCAGCGAGAAGCCGTGGCTAGTGGAGTTTAACCGTGTCAAGCGTGAGGCAATTACCCACCAAGGACAATGCAAGATAGTCGTGTAATATCGTGGATTGATTGAAGTTAGACGTTAACACTGTTGAATCACGGCTCAATGATCTAGAGGTTAGTGGTTCGCGCGAGACTGAAGCTCTTGGGTTCAATTCCAGAGTGAGGGATCGCGGGTGAGCACCGTTGGGGGGTCTAATATTGATCGTCTCGTGATTTCGCTTAAATATATGCTATCATTAAATTACTACATGGATGTACTTCAATATTAAAATGCTCCAACATTTCTACTGAAACCCATACTCGGTAGTTATTGTATCAAATTATCAAAATTTCAGTGAATAGAAAACAAGTATGTAGAGTAATAGATAGTTCAAAAATGTGTCTAAAGTAAAATTACCCTGTTGTGCTTTCTGACTACAAGATTATCTAAACAGTTAAAGTTAATAAAAGATGGATAGTGCCTAAATGTGGAATCCAGAACGCACGTTTCCTCCTATTTGGGACTTGTCAGTTGGATGTACTTGCATCTCAGAGTTGATGTTCACTCTGGGACTCGAACCCAGTACTGTCCGCTTCAAACGCCATTGCGTTATCCACTTAGCTACTGAGTGCTGATAGCCACTGGTATATATGTATACTGTTCTTGTAATAATTATTTAGTCCCACCCATTTCTTTTCGTTTTATTATGGTTCACGTAAAAACCGTAAATTAAAATATATGAGTGGGATTTATTTTATGTCCCATTAATTATCATACTGAAATGTTATTTCTCACATGCAATTCCATAACCCTTATAGGTATAAATGATATAAAACAATGAGAATTTAAATGCAGTCGATTCTTCTGAAAAAGGTTTCAGCAAATCAAGAGCAATGATGTTTGCAGACTACATATGTTGATTGTATTTCAATGCTTTCCCATAGACGTAAACACTAAATTCAAATGCCTTTACAACTATGTTTCCCATACAACTTGTTACTCACTAATGAACAGTTAACACTGCAACTGCTAAATACATTCATATTTGATGAAATTTCGTTCTTGTCAGACTTATTAAGTTGTGTATAGCCAATGAAAAAGCAAAGAAACAATGAATTTATTTTAGTCTGCGATCATTGCTGTTCCTGTAAGTTACTTGTATTTGATCACAGATATCTTAGAAAGATTGCTCGCATCTACTGGGATCACCGGGTAAGTAATAGTGAGGTTAGACGCAAGGTATTAGGAAGTGATGGCAAATCAGTTGATGAGGTTGTAAATCTTCATCAACTGAGATGGTTGAGCCACGTATGACGCATGCCAAACCACCGACTACCACGACGCGCAATGCTGACTAGTGTTGGAGACGGATAGAAGAATGTTAGGGGCGACCAAACCAAAACATGAAATCAATCCATCAAGTCACTAATTTTCGGTCTGAGCCATGTTGGTAGATGCAAACTACTTGGTTGGTGTCCGTGTGACTATCTTAACCAATGGTTGAAGATTCTGAGTGAAATGGCTGAGAATCGATCACAATGGCGTCGGTGCATACACTCTCTGTCTTCCCTTAAATCGTGAGATTAAAACTACTCTGTACCTTTCTTTCTAATTCTTTGTTCCTGAACCATATCCTTATACACAATCTTTTATATATTACTACCATTGAAGTAACTACTTCTATGAATTTGGTGTTCATTTTTCTGTGCTGATGTGGTATGGCAACATGAACCGATACATATATGTGCCTGGTCCCACGTTATAGCTGACTGACTAATTGATTGCTGTACTCCTATTGGTTGAATGTTGTGTTTTATTCAATGCGATGTTTTGTATTTTCTTGGTGCTGGTTAAGTTCTATCGAAGTGGACACAAGCTTAAGTTACTTGACATTTCATATACTATGTTTCGATGCTAAGCTTCTTGAGGATCGCCTCCAATCACCCAAGAATATCGTTCTCAGTTGGTCTGAATTAGAAATCATTTAAAAATTTGAAGTTTGGTTTATTTGTTCTATGAAATAAAAATACTAATGATTAGACAGTCTTTTCTGTCATTTACAAATCTTTTCGGTTTCAGATCTGATTAAACAGGACAATATTCAAAGGCCATATGCTCATGAAACAAATTATTTAGCGGGAAAATTTAATAATACTCGTCGTTAGAATGATGTAATTAAAGGATGAGAGATAGGCTAAATAAGCAAAAACTAATAAATCTTAAAGTAGAAAAGTATCTGCTAGCAATAATACAAACTAAATCGTCGTAGCATTAGGGTTTAAAATGTAAGGAGTACTTAAGACCTATTCGAATATAACTATTGAGACTTTCATGTAACCAAACGAGAGACAATAATGATTGGGAATCACAGTATATAATATTTCACCATCTGTCTAATATTTTATAATACAAAACAATTAATATGAGCATCTGTCAAATTTATCTAAATACTTTACGTGTTTAATGTAATAACTGAGTTGCATGATCAATTATCTAAGATTCTATATATAGATATTATCATTCATATTCATACAAGTTATTCTGCTAAATCCGTAAGAAAAGACAAATAATGAGTCGCAGAATATTTTTCTTAACTTAATATCTTATTAACACAGCAGTCTGTATATCTACATTAAACAATGACACTCACTTACAATTGACTGTTCACTGAGCAGGGATATATGTCATGTACGTAAATTTCATCTTACTGCTGATCGAATTCTATTGATCATGGTAATGTCTCTGACTGTGAAGCTGGACGACACGGAATCAGATCCTCCAGGTAACATCAGATACCTCAAGATTACAAGTACACTTTGTTGACGAGCACCAAGTAACACGAAACCTAGGTCTACAGTTTCCTGTCAACTACTTCTAACTACCACCTTACATTTCGAATGATACTCATAGATAAATCAGTAATCTATTCAAGTACTACAGTAATGTCAATGTTGTTCAATACTCTACCTAGATGGTCTAACTGTGGAGTTTCCATTTTTCTTCTGGACAACATTAACAGCTCTCACTTCAGTTAGGAGTTATCTTCTTAGTTATATCACTAGCCCTAAAACAGTCTACTCTAGATGGGCAAATATATTTTATTAAAGGAATACCAAGTGGAATGAATTTTTCTTATGGTTAGATGATAAGTTTTGAACAGTATTCACCTGTAGAAATATCCTGTAGAAAAGCGCACTGATTTCTTATAGTTAGGTATATAATAAAAATCAGACTGATAATTTCCAAAAATTATGTTTATTATATGATACTCAAAATACTAGAAATTTCAGTGGTATAAGTTAGATGAATATGTTATATTTATAGTTTAGCCTTCAAGTTGATCTTCATTAGACCCGTTTTTAACATACAATCATATTTATGCACATATATAAAATACGGCGAACTAAAAAATGGGAAAAATAATACAAATGTATACTATTTAATATTCCCTAATGAGTTGGAATTCATTAATACCCAAAATAGTAACTAAGATTTAGAACATCAAGACTAGTTATGATGAAATTTTGTCAAAGATGTTTTACAATTGGTGTATAGTATTTATGAACTTTCAGTAACTAGTATATAAATTCAGGTCATAACTGTTCACCTCCAATTACCAGAAACTGTCATGACCTCTAAAAATGTAAACAATGAATGATTTAAATTCACTTGATATTGTTTTACTTGAATCTTCCCATTGATGTTTTAGGACTGAAATTGATCAGTCTCTTATTGGCATATGTGCGTACTGTGCGTATCAGGACTCAGTAGCTAAGTGGATAACGCGATGCCGCTTGAAGCGAAAAGTACTAGGTTCGAGTCCCGGAGTGAACATCAGCTCTAAGATAAAAGTACGTCCGGCTGACGAGTCCCGAATAGGACGAAACGCGCGTCCAGGATTCCACTGCTAGCCACTATCCATCTTTGCTTAAATGAATTATTTAAAGTTATTCAGATACAATATAAATATAATTTTCTAATTTGCTTATTATCCTATAGTTCAATTATCCATTACAAAACACCCAGCATTACAATTTGATCAGTCTTTTGATATCCATTTTTAATTTAACATCTATTAAATGCTCAAACTTTTATTTCATTATTATTTAAACGAAACAACTATGGTCGTCTTAAGATGTGAATCTTACATACACCTAGGCATTAGTTTCTCATTCATAAAAAAAGCGAATAAATACTAATAATAATACGAACACTAACAGTATCATTATCACAATTTCTATTACTACCATTATACTGACTAGTAAGCGATGTATTATATGTATAAGAGAAAACGCAGGTTATGAAATATCAGTCTCGAAGAAGGTAAAGGGAGGGGTATAGGAACCGATTGGAAGAATTAGTTTCCAAATATTTTATGACAGGTTACAGCTTGAAAAAAAAGATTTTATGAAACTTCTAACATATATATATGTATTTCTACATCTTTTCTAAATAATTGTTTATGACCATATTTATGACTGTAGAAATTACATTTATGTGCATGTTTTTTTTTCTCTCGCTGTAAACTATTTCCAGCAATGCATATATTTGTATTAATTAGGAAATAAATACATTTTTGGCGGTAATCATGTCCATCAATAGATTACATAATTGTTTTATGGTTCTGTGTATAGTTTACTAAAGTAAATTTCTAAATCTCAGTTGACTACACAGCAATCTCATAATTGAATTGAATAGAATCTACTGATTCAAAATAGAATCGACACACTAATTTAACTCATTCAGCTGTAAGAACTCGACAACAGATAATTGTTTCATATGATTAAATCACTATCCAATAAACTTGGTGTATAGATGCATCGCAGTGAAGCATTAAACGAAGTAGATTGCAAATACTGAACTTGTGAGTTCCCTTAATGCTTGGTATAAGGTTTTATCATTTATATTACAAAGCTACTTTAACAACTTAAATCCGTACTTGTAAAATTTGCATATATTTTATATACCAGAATGAATTAATAAACCAAAAACTCAGTCTCTTATTTCCCACCCCTCAACTAAAAACTAAATGACATAACAATGAATTCTCACTCAATACTTACTATCAATCTATCTTATCCATGATCTATTAACTAAACAGTAGTACAATTAATTAACATTAAACAAGCAAATCATATAAACTGTAGTGAACAATTTATACCTGGTATGATTATTAAATAATGTAATATGTTGAAAGGTTGAAAAACAAACATTTAAAAGTACATTTTTTTGAGATCAAAATAGTGACAATTATTTACAAAATCACTGTTTATCACATTAATTATGAATAAACTAAATGTGTCTGATTTAGAAAAGAAAAAAGAACTTGACATTATTTACAGTTATTATGCTTTTTTTATAAAGAAGTTAATAAGTTAACGAAGTGAATAGCCATATTATTTATAAGAACTGACAAGGTTTTTTTCTCGAATAATATTGAATATTTAAATGTAGACTAATCCCTCAATAGTGATTATGTATAAATGTTATCTAAAAATTAATTGGAAATTGAATTATTTTTAAAAAAAATAATCAAATTGAACTGAGTAAATCCCTAATTTCAATAGTTGGGATCATGAGTCGATTGAAGCTAGATCACTATGGAAAACCTGGAAGAACTGGATGGCCGTTTCATCCTATTGTGAAACTCCTCAGCATTACGCAACCAAGGATATATCAGTCTCGCACGCGGAAGCTTAACATCTAGACCACTGAGCTGACTGGCAACCAACGGTGTTAATGTCTAACTTCAAGCAATCCACGAAACTGAGCGACACATCCACCATTGTCATCAGTGAGTTTCTACCTCACAACCGACCCGGGTGAACTCCACTGGTCACTGCTTCTTACTTAACTCATGATCTCAACTACTGAAACTAATACAATCTCCACAAAACCCCTATTGATACAAATCCTTAATTCTCAATGACTATTTCAAATGAATTCAATTCACGATGTAAATTACTTTCAAAAAAATAATAGATTAAAGTTACATGATCACTCCTATGTAACTTCGAAATG